AAAAAAGATCGTTTACAGACCCCCGAAACGCCGGCTTCGTATGGATGAGAGGCTGGTTTGGTGAAAAATGTGTGCGTTTAGGCCAGGGTTTAGCTTCGTGTGGACGGGGCCTAAGGCCTTTGTGGTGGCTGCTCAAAACAAGCCAATGCATCCCGGGTCACCTACAGCTTCCTCAGTTGAGAGTTTAGCCAGTTCACCTGGCAGCTGTTAACCTTGTGTCAGCTTAGGAGTAGTGGCCACAGCCTTGCTGTTGTGTGCCCACTCGCCTGCAGCAACACATCAAACACATAGGGACTGTTATACTGTGGTTTGTAGAAATCCGACGACAGCCTGCATGAGCTGGCGCGGTGCTGCTCTCATAGGGAGTCCGTGCACATGCACAGGCGGAGGTGATGGGACAGACAGTGGCTGCGTGTGAGTGGAAACCCCCATTACATTACAAGCTTCTCTTCTCACTCATTCTTCACACCTTCATCCTCCGCCCTCTCGTGCTCTTTTTTTTGTCTTCTCTTAGCTTCTGAATTTGTCTGTTTGAAATATAGAAAGGAGAAAAAAAATGAAAAACACAAGTAACAAGTATGTTTTCCTGTGTTATCTGTTTCTGCATGTATGCCTCTGCAGCTTGCACTTCAGACAAGTCCCACTGACCTCTACAGATTCTTTTGTAGAGAGACGTGATATGATTGTTCCCACTGTTGATGATTCACGTCAGTTCTCTCTCGTGTAAAAAAAAAAAAAAAAAAATCATCCAGGCTGCACAATTTTAGTTTCTTTCTATCAGCCATTGCTATTTGGATGTTTTATGTTAATTAATTTTATATTCTTACCTTTTTTCCCCTGAAATATTAAAATCATAGAGAAAAAAAAGATATTTTCTCTGCATTTAATTTTAATTCCAGTAGGTAAATCTGTCTTAAAATCTTTAGTTTTGTTTATGCAGTACCTGGAATACTTTACAGGCAATGGCAACCCTAAATAGAGAGGTTAATGTATTCAGCAAAATAAACAAAAGGTAAAAAAAAAAAGTTTTTGTGTGGATTTTTTTAAATCCTAAATAGCCTGGAATCTTATTAGAGTCCATGTCATAATATGCTGATACAAATGCCTCTGCCAATATAGTAAAAATGACTCATCTTAGTGCCTTTCAAAAAGCTTTTAATGCCAGGCCCACAGTATAACACAACCTCCACCTTGCTTCACCAGTGATTTAGCGTACTCAATAAATAATTAAACATTTCATCATTTTTAGGAATCATTTAATCTTTTTTTTTTTTTTTTAAGCTCCCAAATGTGTTTTGCTTCAACTTCACACCAACTGCCACACAACTATTTTTGTCTCAATAACTGTGAACCCCAGCAGTCAGTTGTGAAGGTGTCTTTGCACGTTTGTTCAGATCATCTTCCTCTGACAATAAACTAGCCTTTAGCTTTGTGACGGTAGTTGCTGCTTTGCGGTCAGAGAAGAAACCCTCAGCAGCCTCCATCAGAGCCACGGGACGGGATGAGGCGTCGCTTGATTAGATTAGTCGCGCTCCTCTGCTTCTCTAAATTGGTTTTTCAGCTATGATTTTTTTTTCTTTGCTTTTTTTGTTAACATTTGCATCCTGATGAAAGTGTCTGATAACCATACAGTGATAAGATGTGAGGGCAGTCCTCTCAATTAAACCCCGGAGAAAGAACTTGCTAACAAGGTGAAGACTCGCTCTTCCACACCTTCCAGTCGGCTTTAATGTCAGCTGAGAGGAGGCTGACATTAGCTGTGCTGCATCCCTGAAGGACTTGCTTAAGTGTCATCTAGGGCTGCTTGATTATGGATCAAATCAGAGCTGCACAATATTTAGAATCCTAATGATCACTGTTTTAATGTGCAATTTTCCCATTGCAAAGGACTGTTCTGAAGCAGTATTAGATTGGCTATGTTTTTTGTTTTTATTTGCCCTGTAGGATTAACATTCTCTGTCCTTCACACCCAGATCTGGTGGAAATTGTAGCAGCCAAGACCCTAAATATTGTCTATAGTCAAGCGTTGGTTAGTTGTGAAGAATAACGTCACCATAAATTGTACACATTTTGTACAACTCTCTTTAGGTCAGTGCATTGATAAAATCTATATAATTTTAATCAAAGCATCTTACAGGCTTTAACTTTGATTTGATATTTGTATTAAATTATTATTTTTGCTCTGCTTCAGTTCATTGTTTTTACTGATGTGTGTAAACCTTAAGAGGAAAAGTACACTGCAGGTTCTTTGACAAAGTAAATAGTTTTATATCAAATGTAATGTATGGGAATTTGGTTACATTTATAAGAGTGCATTGATGCTTTTACTGGAGAACAAAATGCTTTCCTCTAATATTTGGCCTGTTGGTTTATGGGTTTCTACTATTTGTTGTTTTCTTAACATCTTCTTCTCCCTCCAGCTTTCAACAGCTGCTGCAAAGAGTCCGGCTTCTTAATGGTGTTTAAGTGTCAGGAGCAAAACTCAGCGCTGAAGGACTGCCTGACACAGCAGTGAGTATTTAGAACTGGCCACTACTACAACCACTGTTCCCTGTTATATCTCAGTATTCCTAAACTCCTCCGATTGCTTGTCAGGCTGCTGATTCTGTACCTTCTGTCCTCCACCAGCTATCAGGATCCAAATTTTTTTGAAGAATGCAAGCGACTGTACATTCAAGAGAAACAGGAATTTGAGAGGACGGGAATCCCTGCCAAGAACAGAAGCCAGAAACTTCCAACCAGCATGTAATATGTACAACAACCAGATGTCTATCATTGTGGTTCCAGACCTAAAGTCTGTATAATAAAGAGACAGTCTGGCCAAGTTGATTCTTCATACACTTACAAGACTGTTATGTGAAAGTCTTTGAGCTATTTAGCAATTATTTGGTTTTCAAGAGCAGCTAATGTTCAAGTGATGCTACTTCCTGACCCGTCCACGTCTGAAAGGGAAGAAGAGGTTCCATGGAGAAGTCATCGTCACTCCTGATGGATTTCAGACTACAGTGCTTGGCTTGATGCTAAACTAATTGGAGGCATTTGGTTTGATTTAACGGCATGAGCCGTATCAAGATCTTTGCTTTATTGTTTTGGCCTCGTAGCTTTTAAAAATAATCAGAATATTTGAATATTATCAAGTGAAAAGCTTGAAACAACTCCTCTTAATCTATATAAACAATAAAATGTTTTCCATAAAAATAATTGGTAAAATAATATATTATGGCTTCAGAAAGTTCTTCAGAAAGAAGTGTCAGCATGTTTGATGGGATTAAAAACTTAAAGAAACAATGATCATAAATCAGTCTAACCTGAGCAGAGTTTGAGTTTTCATTACTCTGGTAAAAAAAAAAAAAAAAAATTGCTTTAGAAAAAGGTACTTGAATGCACTATTCTTGGTAAACTCCACATGCTAAGGTGAGATGATCTCATATTTTATTTTGTTTATCAATATTACAAATCCATTTGTAATATTCCAAATCTGTTATTTAAATAGGTGTTTCATTCTCTGGAACTTGGAATGTGGGTTCAGCTGATTATCTGACATTACTTTAAAATCAAGTATAAGAATCGTTTTGATTGTTGTGATATGTCAATAAAAAAAGAATTTGGAAAAATAATAGTTTAAATTGTGTATTTGCTATAAAATAAAACAAAGTTGGTCTTGGAGATAAAGACAGAAAATCCTAAGGAAATTATTTGAATGTCAAAAAACCCAAGATATTTTTACATTAGTACTTGGACAGATTGCTCAAAGTTTTAAAGGAGCCAAAAGTACTGAACTGATACTGAATAACAATCTTTGATTAAAGAAATATTTGTATTGCACAATGATTTATTGTGAACCATTGCTAACCTAAAATGAGACTCATGATGTATAAAAAACACAACCTAATGCAACGCAGCACTTCAATTTGGTAAATTAATCTAATAAAAAAGCCCTATGCATTTCTTGGCCCACTATTAATTAAAATTGATACTAGAAAAATTGAAAATGGACACAAAACCGGAAAGAAAAACAAGTAAAACTGACTAAACATGTTGATTGTATCAGAGATTCCAAGACAGAATTTCATGAACTGAATCTACACATAACTTATCAGTGTAACATGTTTCAACTTCCCTGGCTGTAGTGCTTTACTCTTGTATGTTATGCTTGTCTTAATTCTTGTCAAAAAACCTAAGAAAGATAATATTTTTTTTTTTTTACACAGCTTACTAAGAGATATCTAAGTCTATTATAGAGTGGGACTTGAAATCAATGTCAAACTTTAAAAATATTACTTATTTAGTTCTGGTATACTTATAAGTCAACTGTACAGAAATGCTGGGCAATATGAGCAATAGAGAATCAGCTGATGGTTGACGGTAAATCTGTATAAACTTCAGAGATCTAAAGCTCAGATGGTAAAAATGTCCGATTAACAACAAAGCATTATCAAGTGGTGAAAGTCAAGACCTAAATTCAATCAAGAATCTGTGGGAAGAGCTGAAAATTGCTGCTGTCCAACAACCCAAGTGGAGCCTAAGCAGCATTTTGCAAAGCTGAACAGAATATTTTAGTCCCTCTCGTAAAAACAGAAGATATATTCCTTCAAGAAAAAAAAAGGCAGTTCTAGTATTGACTCGAAAAGGATGAATACAAATTAAAACTATAGATAATTTTTCATTTACAACAATTCTGTGCTTTGTTTTGACACTTAAAATCCTAATGTATGTATAAATGTGGTAGAAAGGCAATACACATTTCTGTGATCTTTCTGAGAAATTTACTTCCTTGTAAGGAGGTAAGAACATGACTACAGTAAGAGTGCTGCAAAATTGTCAATGGCTACGTGTAGAAATTGCACAATGTGGTATTACTGTGTGGTAGGGTTCATGCACCTAGAGTGCAGAGTTGAGCTTTCATACATTCAATATCTCAGAGATGCAGTTCTATACAACGAAATTTCTTTGACAGAATGAAAGGTATAAACATGAAGCATTATTTAAAAAAGGACACCTTTTATGTCTTTAGATGTCTTCAGCATAGTAGCAGCTTAACTCACCAGTGCCTGCTGCTAACACAGCTTCTTTATTTAATTATATTTACAAACAGTCTGAAGTGCGGTAAGTCTAAAATATAATCAATATCTACTATACATTGCATTTTGGTTTGCAAATTGTTTCCAGAAGTATGAAAGTACAGCTGTAAAACAACTTTTCATTAAAAATTAAGGAACCAATATTGCAAAAAATCAAAGAAAAGCAATCTTTTTAACAGTTTGGGCATTTGTGCCCTTTTTTTATCAATCAAATTAGAAGTGGTATCCAGGGAGGAAACAGCAGTAAAAAAAAAGAATAATGGAGTGCAGAATCACATATGGCAAAAATACTGAAGCCCACCATTTACATTTATACAGATATGCACATTCTGGTTTGGGTATTCCCATGTCAGCATTTGTACACCTTTTTAATCTCATCTGTCCCATAAAAATCACCTCCACACCTGTCTTTTAATTTAAACAGCAACATTAACATTAGCACAGTGCTAAAATGATACACTTTCTATTTTTCAAAATATTCACAAAGCTCGTCTAAGCTTTTATCAGATGTTAAAGGGCAAATATCATCATTAAGTTATAGCATTAAAAATGTTTAAAGTAAGAAAAGTAAACCACTTTTAGCCTTTTCAGTGTTTTTCAAAGCATGAAATGAATTAAACGCACTAAAAAAGCCTTTACATTCATGCCTTTTTTAATAAACTGGAAGTTAATTAAGAAACACATGTGGGTGATGAAGTCTGCTCCTCCCTGTCTTATACACTGTTGCTGAGCATAGGGATCTTCTGTTAAAAAAATGGAATATGTGGAAACAGGATGCATGATCAATAATAAAAAAAAAAAATTAAACCTGATTAAAAAAAGAGGGAGTAAAACAACCAGACCCTAATAGAAAACACAGCCTGGTATTTATGAGTATAAGGTTGATCAAAAAGTCAGGATATACTTTCTAGATGGTAGATCTTCTATTTTGTGCCCTCCTTCAGCACATGTTGGTTGATTTTGGCAAATCAATTGAAATATTTGACCACTGTCTCTGTCTAAAAAGTATCTTTAGCCACAGTTATTAGCTTTAGCATCAACTGTGTAGCTGGGATAAGGTTTTGGCTGCTGTATGAAAAAGAAAAACAGACCAGTAATATGGAAAACGGTAGTGCTTGACAACCACTGCAAGGCTTTCATGCAGGGTTATTTTGAAAATACCAAGGTTAGCCAAAACCAGAGCCTGATTCCATCTTAGAATAAGTCAAATTAAAGTTAATACTTGCATAAATTTAGTGTTTCGAATTGCAGTTTTTGTCACAAGCTGTGATCTAACAGTGTGTAGTGAATAACAAGTGGATCGAGTTTACAACTGCTTTTAAATTCCTGGGTAGGGTGCTGGTTTAATAGGTCTCCAATTCATTTCATAACATTTGTCCTTATTTTCTCAATCTCATTGGATAAACCATGTAAATCACTTTGCTCAAAATTGAGCTGCGGTTTTGCCATCACTACTTTAGCTCTGAGTGAACTGATGCCTTGAGATATTCAACAGCCCTGAACACAACTGAAAGAAAAAGTAAAAATGATGATATATGCCCTTTAAAACTGAAGAGCAGGGAATGTGGGTCATTAGTAGATAACCCATGAGAGCTCTACGTTCACGGTACGGCTGAGAATTCAATCTCAACAGGCAGGATACACATTTTGTTAAGTATTTTGCTCTCGATAAGTAATATCTCCACAGAAATGCAGTATGCATGATCATTAAAAATACGTCTAAGGCCTTAAATAAAAACAATTTCTCGAGGCAAACAGGTCAGTTTTAATTTGGTAAATGCTGAAATTGGGAACAAAAATGTACATCTGTCCCCATCACTGTACAAAAGCCTATATTCCTACACATATCCTTCATAACACAATGAGACAAGCGGGGGCTACACACCTTATGCAATTTACATTGATCCAATGTAAAGAAGAAAAAAAAAGAAATTGCGTTGTGGAGGTACAGTTATTCAAACTCTACTGGTGTGTTGTGGCTCTCGTGCTCCTGGGCCACGACGTATGGAGGAGTCAGCTGTGAGCCCCGTTGGGTTTATCACCATGATACACAGATAAAAGCAAGTGGAAGATCCCTACACGCCGATTTTTTGCATTCACAGGCACATTGAATCATGTGCATTTACACCAACAAACACTCAAATTAAACTGCCTGTATGCATGCCTGCACAGACCAATGCATGTGCATACAAGGACACATTCAAATGGAGATATGAGTTGGATTTTTTTTAAGGGTCAGCCTTTTCTCTACAAAGTTGGATATGTTCACCGATGTGGCGTGCAGAGAACAGTTCTTACCTCAAAAAGGCCTCCTTTGGCCTCATTTAGTTCCCACAAGAAGCAGGTCCGATCAAGTTCACCACTGATTAGTGGTTAATCAGCTTAAGGCAGGTAAGGTGGTAGCTATGTGGCCGAGCTAAAGACTTAGTCTGTACTTTGTTTTCCATCATCTTAATTCTTATGGGTTTAATTAATACGGCTTGGCCCACTCAGCATTAGGAGGGCTCATTGGAGTGAAGTTTCCCAGCGAGGATGACGTGTTGGATGTACTCGAGTGTCCCTCCCAGAACATGGCATCAGTGGGCTTGGGGGGGCTGGGGAAGGAGCGTGAGCTGTCGTCCAGAGAGGCCTGGTTCAGGGGGGGCGGAGGCAGCACAACGGCGCAGGTCTCACTGCCGACCAGTGCCTCCACCAGACAGCTCTGGGAGGGCCAAGGCCCGTTGTACCAGCAGTCCTCCCTCAGGCTGTCTGGCAGAGGGGGGCCTGCTGGGCCACCAATAGCGGGGAGAGGACGGCCGGAACAGGAGGGGACCGGCGGGGCACTGGGGGGGCGAGGCACTGGAGCCCGAATAACTGTGACGTTATTGTTCTTTTCCACGTCGTCCAGACACTGGACTGGAACAGTCGAAGCTGCTGAAGGCAAAGAGATATGGAGAGATACGGGTGTAAGAGAAAAAAAAGGATTTAGGGATGAAAAAATACTTTTTACATCTAAGAACATAAAATCACAGAGATGGTGGCGACGTTATGAATGGAAACAAAAATCTAAAGCAATTATGTTTTCTGAGCTCTTTTGAAAAGCAATCACTCTGATTTAATCATCATGTTTTGTGGATTTTTTTTGTTCTATACAAACATTGACTACTGGCATACACCCCTTTACATACAGATATTATGGCTATAATTAATGATAATAAAATGATTAAATAAAACTTGATAAGGCCTTTGAAATGTATTTTTTTGCATAGTAGCATAGAAAACACCCATAAAACAAGAATAAGGTTCAGAGTTTGATTATTGTGGATTTTCTTTCCTCACAAATAATTAAGTAGTAATTAAGTAAGGTTTAATATATAGCACCTTTCTCAGACAAGTGCTGTACAATATGAGGTAGAATACAAAGCAGGATCATATAAAATTCATATAGGCAAAATAAATACAATCATAGCATGAGGCATAAAATACAAAAAAGAACCATATAAAATACATGTAGAAAAAAAATAAATAGTCATAGTAGCCCTTAATGAAATGAGTCTAAAATGCTTGATTAAAAAAAGAATGTTTTTATTTGTTTTTTAAAATCATCAATGGAGTTCACCAAGGGCAGGTAAAGTGGTGGCGCATTCCACAGTCTCGGGGCGACAGCTTGGAAGGACCTATCACCTCTTGTTCTTAAACGGGTTCGAGGGACCATTAAAAAGCTCTTCACCAGATCTCAGACTGCGAGCAGAAAAGTGAGGCTGCATCAAGTCGCAAATGTAAGAGGGATTCGTCCATGCAGGGCTCTAAAGGTAAGGATGTGCCTGTGGCAAGGCACTGAACCCTAAGTTGAATAACAATCAATATAGAGCAACACAAATTAGACCTAGCATAGAATTAGCTTAATGAACTTCTGTATTACCACACACTAAAATCTATAGAATGGGTAAAATACAAGCATACACTTTGTCAAAGATGGAAATGGCAACATTAGCCTGATTTGATGTGGGGCAAATGATGGCATGTTTTGTACAAAGTGGACAGAACGACAAAGAAGGCGGATCCTTGTAAAATTCTCCAACTTTACTTTAAAGTAGGCTCATCTGCCTCAACTTACCGTTTCAAAAAGTTAAAGCATCTCCTACACATTAAAACTGCTTCGTGTGTAAAGCAGATTAACAACAAGTTCTGGAACAGGAACCAGCAGTGAATGTTTTAAAAATATCAATCTGAAATAAACCATTAATAACTATCTAAACAGTGTAGTTTCTCTAAAATCCATTAAAAGCAAGGTCAATTATTATTGTTGGTGTATGTTTCTATTGGTATCCAGATGTAAACCTCTGATCCTGTGTTGATTTTAGAAAATCCACAATAAACAAACATTTGCACCCAATTCTTGATCTGTTTAAAGCTGCTGTTTTCAAAAATTGAGGAAGTTCACACTAAAATCACAGTGATGGTGATTTTAATCATCATCGTTAAAATCATTATGATTATTATCATCATCATCATCTGCTTATGATGATCTCGTAAGCAGTTGCAAACTTTATAACAAGGAATTAGGACCAAATTATTAAAAAGACTTAATTAGTCTAAGCATATTTACACCTATCTATTATTTACTTGTTGAATACAGAACAAAAAAACAAAATTCATCAACATAGTAACATCGCTAAAACTTTAAGCTGTATCCACAGAATTTGACACAGTCAAAATGTAACTTTTTGTATATATTTTTAAATGAAAATTTATTAAATATTTCCTCTTTTTGCTTTAAACTATTTTTCTTTGGAGTAACTGGTAGGACTTTATTAAAAAGGAGGTGAAATAAATTTATGAGGGAGAGCAAATCATTACAATATCAGGAACTATACTGAAGAATTTACTGTGAAATATCTGCTGTAGAGAGTCTATAAATATTTCATTCTTTAAAAAAAGCATCAGTAGACCTACCTCTCTGCATAAACAAAGACAAATTCTGTTTCCATACACAAATCAGATCCTAATCTGAAACTCGCACCACGGCTTTGATTTCAAATCACCACCTTAGGCAAAGATTGAGCTTTGAATGAGACTCTGTGTTACTTTATTAATTTTACCATACCTCTCTCCATCCACACATCATATATCCATCCATCTCTGCCCTGCTATGCTGCCATGAGATGGTCTCCTGAGTCTAGGATTTGAATAAAAGTGATTCCAAAGGAGGAACATTAGAAGAATACACATGCACAGAATGAGTGAATAAATAACACAGAACACTCTCCTCCCCCTTCTGTCTTTTTCGCCTCTTTCACTCCGCCTGCCTCATCCGAGCCACAGGATTATTCAGTGGAATAAATAGAGCAAGGTTTATTTTCCTGCTGAATTTCGTTCTAATTTTCACCTCATGGCCTCTTCTGACACGCCACAACAGAGGTAGTGACAGCAGGCAGCGTGCACGGCCCTGGAAGGAGGGGAACGGGGGAACAAACCACCTCATAATGCCTGTATTAAAGTGTTTCGGTGGTTTGAGGGGATATCGCATGTCTTATGACACCTCTGCAGAAACTGAAAGAAGAAGCAGCCTGCTTTTCAGCGAGCAAAACCTTTAAAAAAAAATACAAAAATAAGACAGATGCAACACTGACAGGGTTTCTTAGATTTTTTTTTTTTGTGAGAGCAAAATATCTCAAACTTTAAAATATCCGATCATCTACTTTTCTAATGCTTACTTTATTATTAAACAATGAAATACTAAACATCTGAATTAATATTTAACCTAATCATTATTTTGTATCATGGCTTTCATATTTTTGGGGTATTTTTAAAACCTCTAAAAAAAACCTCTCTTTGGGTGTTTGAGAAAATAGTAAACAGGATGAATTTTAAGTTGAACAGTAAAGATGTCCATTCAGTCGCGCCCGTGGCCCTTAAACGCTTTAATTTCATTCTCAGTTTAAAGGCTGAGCTAATCCTCTCTTAAGAGGGAAGGCTGCAACACTGCAGGTGGTGTCAAAATGAATGCAGGGAGCAGACATGTAGAAGATCACATGTGCATCACATTAAAAACAGAATCTAACATGAAATGGTCTGAATAAAAGTCTGCTTCAGGGGGTAGTCGCTCACCTTGTCTTGTTTCACCGATCAGCGGCCTGAGCTTCCCGATCAGGCTTGTCTGGTGCCTCAGCTCTAAATGGAGACGGGTGACCTCAGAGCGCAAAGCTGTATACGTCTGCTGGATGCTCTTCTCCCTATGGACCAAATGGGACGCTCAGGTTAAATCACACACTGGTTTTAGTAACATCCAGAGCAAAGCAGGCATCTAGTTCACTGTTTGCTGAGGAAAAAAAACAGGAAAACCTTTTTGCAAATTAAAAGATCCTTATTTATAGAAAATAATGCATTTAAAGTGGCCTTAAAAGGAGGAATATGATTAGAAAAAAAGCAGTGCAGAAAGCCTAAATTAAATTACTCATGCAGTCTGCTGTCTGACTATCCTCTCATTGATAACTGTATCTCTGCAGAAGGACTCTGCCACCAATGGGACTCGCAATAATTACGTACCTTCCAGCATCAGTTCAGTTTTTTACTTACAGTTTGGAGATTCTGAGCTAAGACTATTCCTCACATACACATAAAACAAAAAAACTAGGAATTAGGAATACGGTTAGGATGTCTTTAAAAGAAAACCAAGATGTTTTTTAATGTTTGATATTTATGAAGTCAAATTTTTTAACATAATTATTCAAACATCTTTAAGGGTTAAGGGTCTTGTTCAGGGACCCAGAGTGGCAGTCTGTGGGAATAAGTGGGACTTGAACTCAGAACCTCCACAACCCAAGCACAATGCTCTAACCACTAGGCCACCACTCTTCTAAACTAACTTTAGATGGTGTTAACCAATTGAAATGTATTTAAAAGTAAATAAAAATTTAGATTTTTTTCTAAAATAATGCATAAATTAGACTTAAGACTTAAAAGTAACACAGACTTTACAAGAAGCCTCTGCCTATCCTTCTTGTGTCCTCACCTTATTTGTTCTCCTTTCCCAATGAGTTAGTTAAATAATATAACCATTTCAAAAATGACATTAGTGTTGAAATTTGGAAAAATATACATGCAGCTATACTGATATTATATAAAATAATTGTTTTTTTTCTGGTTTGAGATCTAAAGGTGAAAATAAAGGTCTTATTAGCTAAATAACCTTTCCCTAATCCCCCTATTCCTGTTAAGAAAGAAAAATCGGGGTTTCTTGTTTCTTTGAGCGCTTTGAGCGGTGAGATGAAATCAAAGCATTTTCTTATTTTTAAAAGATGATTTAGATGTGCTTTTTTAAGAGTCTCTCAACAATGAGGTTGCCTTGTACATAAAACAGTCCTTACAGATACATAGAAACATATAATAACTTACGGTATTAAAGACTTGCTGTAGCTCAGAGGACACTCAGCTGTCCTACATCATGTCACAATGGGCGATTTTTAGACATAAAGACAATATTAGAGTGAAATAACAGAAGCCATCTAAAGTAATCAACCAAAAAGAAAGTGTGCGTTATCTTTATTAAATAGACGAAAAGTGACAACGTATCATCCTGAGAGCACTGCTGAGTCAAAACTTAACCCTGAAACTGAAAGAGTTGAAACATTTTCAAGAACAATAAAATGCTCAGTTGTTTTGAAAATGACAACTAGGAACATTATGAAAGGTTGTCAATCTTAAGAAGGTGTGAGGAGTGCTAGATTTGCTGCATGCCTGCAATGAACACTTCAGCTGGTCTCTTCCCTTTTGATTATCACCATCTTGTCACCTCTTATTTCAAAGTTATAACTTTAAACATCAAAGAAACATATTAGTTAAAAAAAAACAATAATAATAGCGGAGCTGAATTCCCTCTGATCGTTATCAACAGGGAGCAAAATGATCAAAAAAGCAAAAAATAAATAAATGCTATAAAGTAGCCTGGTGGTTATGATACATTGCACCTTTCCATGGGTATAATTATATTTGGCCTTTTTTAATAAAAAATTTGAATATGAACTGAAAATTATTTTTATTTTTTTATTTTATTTTCTTTAAAAAAATAAAAAAAATGGTTGGAAGCAATTCTTAAAGCAGAGAATTGTGTTTTTGTTTAATTCATAATATAATAGCCCAATTAGGCTACAATTTGTTCAAAATAAACAATATGGGTGTTTTCCCTCAATTAGGGAGGAAATTGTGTAATTTTTTTCATCATAAGCTTTTCAACATAGTTCAACTGAAAATTTTTAGCCATTTTTTGTCGCTTCTGGAAACCAAATCTCCACATTTTCTGGATCCAGCATGTGAGAAAAAACGGAGGACATAAAATTGGGGATTCAAAGCTAATATAGACAATAAAACCAAAGGTTGGAGAAACATGTAGGCTATTATGTGCTGAAATACTACATTTCTTTAATGCCGAAATGAATAACAGCCTGCTTTGCAGAATGAGATGAAATGCAGAATTACGCTACACCATCCTCTAGTGGCCAAACAGGACAAGTACACTCCATGCTGATGGCAGAGCTTATGAAGGGTACTGCATTAATGGTTAATGTTAATTACTTTTTATCTCCCAATACATGTATACAAAAGGATCTATCTGGTATTTTATCAAAAAGACAGTAAACCATACATATTCTACACAGCAACAATTTAAATTTCATTCCAGATATTCTTTAGGAGTTGAGCAACAGAGTTTGCATGGCATCTGAAAGATGAGCAGGGGAGATTTTATTAATGCTAAAACAATCCAGTTCACCTAAGTTGACACTTTTAACACAGGTAGGAAAAAGAAAGCTAAGAAAATCCTATTTTCTACAAAACTATGTTGCACTATATAAAGTTTAAAGGAAAATTCCGGTTTTTAACACTTTTAGCCCCTTTTCTGTAGTGTCCAGGATGAAATCGAATGATCGACACCAAAATTTTGACGATTGGTCCTGTCTCTGCTATTTGGCTCATGCAGAATCCCCCCCTGGCTGCTTCAGAATGGCTTTCATAGTGCATGTCCGATAATGTCCTTAAAACAACCTTAAACGTTCTTTTTTTTAATGTGCTACTCACCGAGTCGTCAACGCTGTTCAATGACGTTCAAAAACAAGTTTCGTAAAGAAAAAACGTTCCTGTCTTGTTTTATTTAGCATTTTGTAAATCCCATTGAGCTCTGTTGGAATAGTCAATATCCCTCCGCCACCGGAAACGGAAATGGGGCCTGTTTACGCTTAGTTGTAGTCTTTTCGCAAGGCCCAAGTGTTTCTGCTTCACTCTGTGTACTCCGACGTGGAGGTGCTAACGTCTCTGTTAAACACTTTAAAAAACTCTGAAAATGGAATACGAAAGGTGGATTCTTGAGGAGGACATATTGGACTTTGAGTTTGACGGTACAAACATTGTCGCCAACTAGTGGTCTGGAGTGTGCAACGCTTCAGATTCGAACGGGAAGCGGAAGTTTATAAGCGGTTGTGATGTATCGGAAAAAATAGTTCTGGGATTTACAAAATGCTAAATAAAACAAGACAGGAACGGTTTTTCTTCACGAAATTTTTTTTGGAACGTCATTGAACAGCGCTGACGACCCGGTGAGTAGCATATTTTAAAAAAAGAACGTATAAGGTTGTTTTAAGGACATTATCGGACATGCACTATGAAAGCCATTCTGAAGCTGCCAGGGGGGGATTCTGCATGAGCCAAATAGCCGAGACAGGACCAATCGTCAAAATTTTGGTGTCGATCATTCGATTTCATCCTGGACACTACAGAAAAGGGGCTAAAAGTGTTAAAAACCGGAATTTTCCTTTAAAGCTTAAAACTGACCAACTATTTGAACAATACTCGGGGAGGATGTGGATTTAGAGTTGACATACATCTAATCCAGCGGCACCTTGACCAGAATATATCTTTCTTTTTTAAGCAGAATCAACTCTCAAAACAAAAAAAAAACCTTCTGAAAAGATCCAATGTTAATATTCAACTAGAATTATGCAACTTTATGACATTCGGCAATGGTAACAACAGAGATCAGTGTATATTACTGTTTTGTTTTGTGACGAAACCACACAAAATAGCACATAGTTGTAAAGCAGACTGAATATTTTTCAAACTTTTCGCTTACATGCAAAAAAATTAGGTGGTGGAAGGTTAACCTTAAGTATCACCCTAAACTCACTATTCACAGGGTGCGACACAGTGGTAGGAGGATCATGGTGAAGCATTTCATTAGCAGTGAGAGGTCAAAGTCAAAACATTATTCAGTCTGAGCTTCCGCTCTTTTGTGAAGAAGATATTTTTCTCTTCAGATGTAGAAATAACTGTTACAACAGGTGATTCAAAAGTTTGGGTGAATACATATACACAGCAGTCTAAGAACCATGTATATCTTTTTGCCTTCACTTCACAAGTATGAAATATTTTAACAGATAGTCACTGATGCAGAGTTTTATAAATGGAATTAAATGGAGAAAAAAAAAACTTCCTGTTTGTTTATTAAATGAAATCCACAATAAATACATACCTATGCAAACATTTCAATGGTTTGAGAAAAAAAAAAAAACGTTCAAAGCACTTTATATAATTCTTTATGCAATTCTTATTTCATACTTTAAAATTATGTTAATATATGTTTTACAGCATACTTTCTCTGGTGATAAGAAAAAAATACCCTACCTTGCGCTATGTTTTCCATCACATGTCTGGTTCAAGTCTGGTCCATTAAGGCCCTGTGATTCCTCCTGAAACAAAGGTTTATGGTTACAGAAGATAAGAACACTTTATTGATTGAGCAGCGGGGGAATTCAGTGGTTAATGCAGCTTATGGAAAACAAAGAAGGAAAATAAAATAAAGGCCAATTTCTGCTTCTGACGCATAGCCTCTGCAACCGTCATATCTGTCTCTGTGCGACCAACCCCCCCCGCGCAGAGGTTCTGCAACCATCGCCACACACCTAAAAAAAATCCTGACTACAGGTCGGATTGTCGCAAACCCACGCAGACCTCAAGTGGAAGTGCACAGACAAAAAGCAGCTCTTACTGGTCCTTGGTATGCCTTTGCGGCTGTCTGTGTGGTCGTCCTTCTCGATTCGGTGCCGGGGCGCGCCATTTTTAAAAACCGAGGAACAATTAAGGCGAAAGGTTAATCGGTCTTTTTTCCAACTCCATTAACAGAACCTGTTCCTCTTTGATGTCTAGCAACACAGATGCATCTCCTTGACTGTAATATCTTGCAGATGCGCCATTATTTTTTTGGAAGATAAACACTCCCGTCGCCGGGGACGCCGAAGTTCTGGTGCGTTCTTGAATAGGCTCCCTCTTGCGCTTTGACGGAAAACTGCTGCGTGTCCCTAGAAATTCCAGACCGATGGTCCAGAAGCATACCAGCAAAACTGGTTTGTGACCACACCCAAGCGACATTTGATGTGTGCGGTTGCATAAGTATAATCTGCCCTTAAGCCACATAATATAGAAGAAAACAGAATACCATGTTTTGTAAAGTCTCTGGATGGCAGATACCACACACTGAGGCAGACCTAAACTGTTTAGCTCTATTACGACAGAAACGTTTGATTCTTTATTCTGCTACTGAAACAGCAGCTCAGAATCATGGTCTGGTAAAAGTACTAAAAGTATAAGTGTTACGTTTAGCATAATATTAATTGTCCAACTTAAGCCATGTTTCAGTCTAGATCTTCTACTTCTTTAGTCCTTATTTTCAGCATTGAACTCTTTTAAATCACATCCAATCTTTCTCCTCCAATGCCACACATCCTTTAGAGCTACTTTTATTTTGTTTAATTGCAGGATTTACTTTCTTTGTTATACTTCCACCTCCTCTTTGCTCCTGTACCTCCCTCCTCTGCCTTAACCTGACAACAGCCAGATGCATGTCTAGCTCCGCCTAGCTCCACTCACATACATCTGGGAACCCGCCATAGGAATTGCCTTTACTGAAGGCTGGGCCTTATCAAAACTCCTTGCATATGATTGGATAAGCCACTTGTCTGTCATCTTTATTGACGTGCTATTTCAACCACTCAAACCGAAGCTAACCTGTGACGCTGTGAGAGGAGGAGCCATTTGGTAGATCAAGCTCTTGCCAAATCCAGTCGGGAGAAGGGCGAAAACATCGTTTCCACCAACAAAAGCCTTCAAAGCCGTTCTCTGATGTTCTTTTAATGAAACAATATCAGATAGATTGGACAACACAGAAGAAATAGCAGCATCAATGCTAACGCTTGCTTCCTCAACGCGAGCCGCCATTGTTGTTGGAATCTCACGGTCGCTTCTCCACTCCAGGACACACCCACCCTGCGTCCTGATTGGACAGACCATAAATTCGGTTGGGGAAATCACTTTCAATGAGCGGGTTCCCAGATGTATGTGAGTGGAGCTAGGCGGAGCGAGACATGCATCTGGCTGTTGTCAGGTTACCTCTGCCTCCCCTCACCGTGCTTCTCTCCAGCAGTCGGCTGTTCTCTAGCATCACCCTCTCTAGATCTTCCTTCAGCTTGCGGATCTGCAGCTCAGTGTCGACTCTCTCCACCTGCCAGCAGTCCTGAGGGCTATTCAGACTCTTCATCACTGAAAAGAAGAACAACAGATCGGATGTCACTAAACGAAAAGTGTTTTAAGATTTTAAAAGTTGTGGTACGTTTATGTACTTCATAATCATTGCACAATGAAGAATACTGAGGGATTAGTATGTCTACAAGGGATTAAACTTAAAAAAATCTCAATCAAAATGTCGAGTCTAAAGTAGTTTTAAAGCAGCAGTTACATGCATTACATTTTATACTTGTAATATTTGTGATATTTTCCATCTGACTGGAAGAAAACAAACACTTTTCAAGTGTAATAAAAGTGTTTACTTTTAAGTACTTTAAAAAAGTGCACAGAGTAATTTCAACACAGTTTCCACTAGGAGGGAGTTCTGCAAAAAGGGCAGTTCTGATGGCTATATCATTCGCTGACATTTGTCTTGCCCTTGACCCTCTCGAAAAAAAAAGTTAAATTCAGGGCAGAATTGCATTATATCCTCTCAAGTTGACTTTACATACCTTTGTGTGCCTCATATAAGTGAATTTTCAAAGGCACGCAGACTTAAATAGTGCACATATTTGTTTTTTCGGCGTGTGAAACAAGTCGAGAGTTGACTGCAGTTTTCTTCAGCTGAGTGGAGTAGAAAGCAGGCCTGTGTGCTCTACCTGTACCTTGGGTGGTCTCCATCTCTGTCCTCAGCTGAAGCAGCTCTAACTCTTTGGCTTGGAGCTGCTCCGTCAGCAGCTTCTCACTCTCGCTCTTCTCCTTTTTCTGATACAGAAAACGCATCAAATTATCAGCATTGTGGTCCAATATATAAACTTCTGTTCTCACTGTTCAGACACACATATCAGAAGTAAGAGAAAAATAATCCAACAAATATATGAAGTAATAATTGTTAATTTTCTTTGTACAACAATATAAATGTAAAGCTAATTTGTGAAAGTTTTAATTAAAAAAGAAAACCAACCAGTTTATTGAGCTCCATCTGTAAGTCCTCCTTCTCAATGTAGATTCCTCTGTAAGCACTGAAGGCCTTGTTAACGTAATGGGGACCCTCGGATGGTGGAGCCTCTGGCCTGAAGAGCTACAACGAAATAGGAAATTAAATAAAATACGTTCTTGGGGAAGGGAGACTTATTAACCTCTACTTCACAACTGATAGTAGTTCCTGAGGTTTTAATGAAACCATTTGCCTGTAGTAAAACCCACGCTCTATTCATTTCCTCTTTTCCAAATGGCATATGCTAGTCCTAAGCAAATCTTTCACCATGTTTTATTCTCATTCACACAGGCTTTATAAGAGCTGTCTCGACATTAACACGTCACATCTCACTATCTGTGGTATAAATGTCAATGACTTCTAATGTTCTGGTCTATGTTTGACAAACTTCTGAATATGTTTGCGGCTGTTTTTGGTACTGTGGCTTTACTCTACCACCGATAGGAGAGATCCTGCAGAGGACAAGCACATGCTTTATGTTAGAGTTAAACCATGTGTGTTTAAATTTTGTACTGCTGCCTGTGTTTTGTTCTACATGCTTCTTAGTTTCTAATCTTTAGTAATCCTTTGAGATGACATTGATTGTGGTTGAAATCTCTCTTTTTGAGCAAAATTGTAACCATTAAGGGTTATGCCATCCCTGTTACGTGCCTTTTATGTTAACGTTGGGGAAATGCAAATCACAACCAGATATATTTAAAGGATTTCTTTTTATAAACCAAGTCCAAGTGCATTTTTGGGAGAAAAAGGATTAAATTATTGTAAAGACTAAGGAACATGCTTGATGTGTTAAGGGCTGGTTATACTCCCGCAGAAGTGTGTCGCAGTGAGCTTGTCGCCCATATTTTTGTTTTATGCCCAATTTTGAAGCGTGGTCTGGGCTGTGTTATTCCACGCCACAATGCAAGAGGGACAATCACAAACTAGCTATGGGTCTAGATATGGCCGAGGCGGTGAGGAAGTGGGGACAAGTTTTTGTGACAACAGAGAGATGAGGGCAAAAAAAGAGCAGGGACCAATCAGATGCCTCCTGTCTGCTGCGCTGTCTGCAGTCACCTACAATTTTGGAGAGGTGTAGTAGAGTGCCTGCGGAAGGGCCGGGGTCACATTTGCGTTAACTGTGACACACACATGCAGACAACCTGGTTTCTGAGTATAAATCAGCGTTTAGAGATATGTTTATGGAGAGGCTTAATGCAGGCCTAGGTTTTATAAACCTACAAAGTCTTCAGAATCTTACAGAGCTTGGCTATATCAGTTGTCCAAGACTGAAATAAGTATGACGCAGCTAGAGAGACATGGGTGTCTGCTTGAACTGACAGGTCAGGCAAGGAAACCATGAATCACAGAAGACGGCCAGTGGCCCATCCACGGTACTTGGAGCGGATAACTGTTAATCGCACGCCACACAAATCTGATCTTGTGGAAGAAAAAAAAGACATGATATGTCCTGCAAAAAGTCTGCAAAAGTGTAAGAAGAGGGCAAAACAAATGTAGAGAAACGTACTCTGCTCAGACAAGAGCAAAGCTTAACTTTCAGGCCGACATGTAAAACACTATTGTTGTGGCAGACAAAGGCGGAACCACATCATGATCACAAAGTCCCTGTGGTAAAATATTGTGGGAACATTATCATGTTGTGGAGTTTTACTTCTTCAACAAACAAGCGAGCAAGGCTGGTAAGATCGAGATGAAAGGGGTTTAACACAAGGACGTCCTGGAAGTAAACGTTTTAGAGACTAAAAAAGGTGAGACTACACTTGAACATTTATGTTCACAGACATACCTGATTATTTATGACTGAGTTTGAGCAATTTTATAAAGTAGATAGGGAAAGAAAATCAATCTTTGAATGTAATAAGCAGTTTCTAGGACTTTTAGTTGTTACAAAAGGGAAAAAATGAAGGGAAAAAAATGTATTAATCATATATAATTTTAATTCTGCTTTCCAACTCTGAGTTACTTTTTGTCTTATCCAGTAAAATACTAATTAAATAAACCAAGACTTCCTGAACTAATGAACAAAATGTATGAAAAATAACATTTGGTCTTGTCAGTAGATATAAATGCTGTTTAGTCTCAAATTATTTTAGGTTGTGTGATATTAATGTTAACATATTTATTATTAATGAAAATATTATGCAACATCTAAACCTGCCACAATTCCCATTCTTTCTCTTTCCATTCCTACCTTTTCCTCTAATTGCTTCACCCTTTTCTTTAGGAAAGTGTTTTCCCGCTCCGTGTCTCTGAGCCTCTTCTTTATGTCCTCGTAAGCTGTGACCAAGGCGAAATGAGAGGCGACAGACTCATCACCAGCACACACGGACACAGGGCTCTCTCCTGCAGGGGTGTAGGCTGTCTCGTGTTTGAGGATACAAATGTCATCGTCTACTGTCAAAGGCTCCATGTCTTGACAGAGGCCTAATCCTTGGAGGGAAGGACCTGGGAGAGATGGCAAGAATAGTTTTAGTTTAACTGCATTGTAAAATATCTAGAGTTCATGCTTCTGTTGGCTAATACAAATTTCTTGTTTTCTTTAAGCTCTGCTCTGCTGGTTTAGACATTTTTAAGTACTAAAACACACAAAAAGAGGAACAGTTCCACACGTTATTTGATCAAAGTTGTATTTTTAAATCCAGCAGAAAAACTGAAGTAAATAGAAAATCAATAATTTCATTTTTTTCACCTTTTTAGTAACTTTACGAAATTTGTTTAGCATCTGTTTTCATATGCATTAGATCGTATGTGTTATGTCTGTGTGATACTGAATTATTTTAGTCAAAAGAAGCTGTTTGCATGTAATAACAGATCAAACAAAGTGTGAATGCTTTGTTTTAATGCAATCATAGAAAAGAAAAACAAATGTTCAACAATTGTCCTAATGATAATAGATATTAGCTGTTGAGGCCAATCTAAATCGCTGGCTGTTTGAGTGGTACATTTCTTATGAATCTATATGTTCGGTTTGCAAAATAAAAGGATACTAAAGACAGTTTTGTAGCAGAACAGCACCAACATCAGAGGTGTCAAGTAACGAAGTACAAATACTTTGTTACTGTTCTTAAGTACACTTTTCAGGTATCTATACTTTACTCCATTACTTATTTTTCCTCCTACTTCTGACTTCTACTCATTACATTTTCACACAATTATCTGTACTTTCTATTCCTTACATTTTTAAAACAAACGTTACTCGTTACTCTTAGCTTTGGTTTAATGTTTATAAATATTTATTTCATGTCATGTGCGCCATCCAATGCAGATCATTGGCACCATCCACATTTTAGTGAAAACTAGTGTAATTAGATGACTCATATAATGCAAACACTCATCGGTGAGCTAAAGGGAATCATCAGAAGCAAGCAGGTGTTCTTCAAACTGCAAACACGAATTGTCTATGCCAGGGGTGCGCAAGTCCAGTCCTTGATAGCTACAATCCTGCAACTTTTTGATGCAAATATTTTTAACAAACCTGAATCAAATGAGCGGCTCGTTACCACGCTTCTGATGAACTAAATGAGGAAAATTAGGTTTTAGATTCAGGTGTGCTAGAGAAGAGATGCATCTAAAAGTTACAGGATGGGAGCTCTTGAGGACTGGACTTTAGCACCCCTGGTCTATGCCATGCTACAATGTCGGATTCAGAAAAAGATGTCGAAATGTCTGAAAGGGTCGGACACAGGCGAGAGCGTATCGGGAGATGGAGACCAATAAGACCTCCCTCATCCTTTGCACTATCTCAAAGAATTTTTAGAAATAGTTGAAAAATTGAGTTTTCAATTCATATAGTGAAATCTGGCTGTTTTTTTTAAAGGTTACTTTATACTTTTATACTTTAAATAGTTTTTGGAGCACATACTTTTTCACTTTTACTTTAGTAAAGAGGTAAATTTGATACTGCAACTTAGTGTACAACAGAGTGTTTTTAAACTGCAGTATCTATACTTCTACTTAAGTAAAAAAATGTGTGTACTTTTGACACCACTGGCTATCACTGAGGGGGTTTCTCTACAAAAGAAAAAAAAAATATCCCCCGTGGGGTTTGATCTACCTATAGAGGCTTTCTAGATGTTTTCTAAAGATCCAAAGCAGGTTTCTTCCTCAGATCGCAGCAGACAGACTGAAGCTGTCAGTGGATGATGTCACCTTGCATGATGCAGCAAACATAAATGGTCCAAGTTTTATCAAATAAAGATACAAGTTAATCCAGACATAAGTGTCAGCGTGATTAATGAACAGGATATCACAGCCCAAAAAAAGTTGAAAGCAAAACATTCCGCTTCATTTTTTATCCAACTCGGAGGTTATCAACAGAAAGCTAACCCCACGAGCAGAGAAAACGAAAGTAAATGTTACTGATCCGTGACGAGAAATGGACTGTCATTTTTTTTTTTTTACAGACTTCCTTTAATGAGACAGAGGAGCTAACGGGAAATATTAAATTAAAAAAAGAGACATTACACAACAAAGGGAACGAGCAACTGCCTTATTTTGATATAAACAATCAATGCAACTCGATAACTGTTGCTAACCCCTGTGTTAGCCTTGGTTCAACCATCACTTTCAAAGAAATAAACACATTACAACACAGACAGCTCTCCAAAAACACAATACTGTACAATATAACACCTTTATACGATGACTCTGACGAATAGGCCACATTTCTCTCTAATGAACGACACCAATCTTTTGATATCAGCTAGCTAAGATCTGCTAAAACCTTGTTTGGCTAGGTGAATAAAAAAGAGCCTTTTATCTAAACACTGTCGAATTGCACTGACCGTTAGATGCTATCCTCCTTAGTTAAATATCAGCTGGTCACATAGAGCTACCATTGATGCTCAAAAAAAGGAGACCAGGCAATGAGAGAAAACAAAAGAGACGAGGCTGATTTAACACTCGCAAGTGCATATTCCGAACTGACAGGTGAGGAAACAAAAACTTCCGGGAGTCACCGCTGATAGCGTCCTTTCAAAATAAAAGCAGTATTTAAAAGTATTGGGATTGAACTTGCTGTCTCTCAAGTATTGTGGGTGAGTTTGTTTTAAATCCCCCCCTAAAAAAACAATTGCTGTTAAATCTTTACATGTATATTCATGTCTTTAGATTATATAAATATAATCTAAAGGCATGTTTCTGGCTTTAAAACAACGTAAAGAGATATATTGGCGAGCTGCCAGCATCAAGCTAAACTATAGCATTGTTAAAAAGTGATGCTAGCATAAAGTTCTCAATTTCAAATCTTTTCTTTTCCAAAATAATTATCTTTTGCATAAACTTTAGACTTGTTTACCACCACAAATGTAGTAGTATAGAGGGCCAAAAGTGCGCCTGTAAAGAAATAAATTGAGGGATATATATATGAAAGTGTAAAGTTAACTGTTTTAAAATGCATTGAACCCATTCAAAGTGCAACTTATTTATTATATACACTTATTACCAAACTGATGCCGAGTTGAGTTGTGTTAAATCAAACAGGTCCTATAGTCACTCTATTACAGATGGAGTATTAAAAGTAATTTTTTTTTTTCTGTATATGTCACCAGACGGGCTCCGTAAAAGGTAAAGATAAGAAATAAAAATCTTTTTTTTGTTTTTTTCTGGTAAGATGCTACGTTTTTTTACATATTTATATAATTATTTCATAATTTCAATGCCACAGTCCATCATAAAATAATTGTAAAAGTTTTTTTCTAAATCATGTCCTTATGTAAAACTCTTCCCCCATCTTTCCTGCTGTTGGAGGTCAGAGGGCCCGATGTGTGGCAAGTACAATAGACTGAATTCAAATCCACAGCATACTTTTCAGATTTTCATTGGCTAAAATATGTATAAAATCATGTACTGCTTTCTTGCCAGAGTAGGGATATGATGAAATTAAGCAAAAACAGTGCTGCCCACTGTTTCACTGAATCAAAGCCTAAATCAAACAATGCATTCTTTAACAAAAATGCAATTACCTTACCTGTTTAATTGTGCTCAGGATTACTATAGGATTGTTTTTTTAAGCTGCTCTCAGTCCGTCACATAACACAGCTATTAATCGACTATAACCAAATGTACTGTTCAGTTTATCTAAAATTAAAACTATAACATACTTTATTTTGTAAGTCAGCATAGAAGTGAAAAAAATTTATTTGCACATTTTAACAAGATGCAGTCCGATCAAATCTAAAGACAAATAGTTATTTGTGATTGTATACGTAGATAGAAATAACAAAATGTGTTTTAATTGCATTGATGGTAACTAAGAGAGTGACCGATACAGGTTTTTATAAGCTGATACCGTTTATTTAGACTCCAATATGTGCTGCTTATTTTGGGTGCCCGATTTTTAAAGCCGTTTTTGCTGTTCCTACTGGCATTTGTATGATAAAAATGAAACAGAAATAATACATTTACACAAGTCTCAATTAAAAGAAAAATAAACATTTGATAATCAATCAAACAAAACATCATCAATGGATAGGAAATGGAGCGAGCGTGCTTCACATGATCTAGAGACATGTGCTGAATAAATGAGTGAAGACATGATTTTCAGACGATGAAAAATACTAATATAGGCCAAAAACATTAGCTTGCCAAAATGTCAGTCTATCTTTAGTAGTTATAGACTTGGTTCTATGATTTATTATTCTGCTCTGCTCCCCTTTGGTTTGTAAGATGTCGCAGTTCTTCATCATTAACATAAAAAAAAAAGTTTTGCTTAAGGAACAGAGTGAGACAAATAATATTGACTGATATTGATATTTTGCTCTGAATGAAGCTGCAAAGGTCAATGACAGCAGAATGGAAGAGGAACTGAATACTTGCATCTCAAAGACACAGCAATGTAAGTTGAACTTATCAGATGGGTAAACTCATTCCACCATGATTGACATTCTTGGTCTCTGTTGCTTTTACCTTCTCTCAAACCTGTTCTTGACTGTCACTGCCCAGCCTAGACTGCCCTAAAAAAATGACACTGACAAATACACACATTTTTTTGCATTCTTTTCAAAAGTAGAGTAATGCCTGTTGATTTTTCATTATAATATGACACTACACATGATGCACTGCAAAACAAATGAAGTGTTTTTCTTCAAATGCTTACTCTGATAGGGTTCGCCATGAGCGTAAGATTCCTGTACCATTGTTATTGCAGTGTTGTCAGAGGCTGAGTCCCTTCTGAAAGACATAGAGGAGATGCTTGACTGGTTTCCAAAAAAGATTCCCTCCAGCAATGCATTGGTAGGTTTCATTCAAGGAATGCAAATACATAGTTAAGCATGAACAATGACTCAGCTGTGATGGAGATAGTTATAATATCCTGATTAAGTTTTTATTCCTAATCACATAACCTTTACAGGAATTAAAAGTTGACATCTTATTGTGTGTTTTTAATAAGATTATTTTCTGCTGATCTTGCTGCTTTCAGGATATGGGCCACTAAGCAAGGTCCATGTTATCTAATATTGTTTTCCTTTCACAGAATGTTATTATTAAATTCCCCGTTTAGCAAGGCAAGAGCTATTCAGGCTGGACCAGCCCTTAGAATTTCAAAGGTACACTGATTTGCATCCCTAACTCCAAAACAGCATGTTTGTAGAAATCTAATCGCATAAATATAGTATGTGGTTGTCACAGGAGCTGCTTAACTGCTGTTCAGTCTTAACTGTATAACAGCTAAGCTATTTATCATGGCTAAACCTCTCAGTATCTCATTCATGCTTTACCATCAAAATGAGTAACAATTATTGTAATGAATTTTAACAAATTGGCTTGTCCCTCCCTTTGTTAACAAGGCACAAGCCGCTCATTCTAAAAAGAATTTGAAGAGCAGTTGGTTGTTGCAAAGTAAAGCAATGCTTAAAATAATTGTCTATCCAGACACTGTGAGTTGGAGAATTTGCTGCTTGACACCACCCTGGCCTGGTGTCAGGGAGGGAAGCAAAATTATTCTCCTCTAGAGCCATGTTCGAAACAGGCAAATGCTGCAGGAAGTACATGCAGTGAGCCTCCTGCAAACTGTCTGGGAAAGTATGGAAAAGGAACGAGAGAAGGATACCATCATGCTACTACATGTCTTGTATTTGGGAGCCGTCTTGTCTCTCGGAGTAGGCCCACTGACAAATTTTGCCTAAAAAACTTAAATAGCATTTTCAGCTTCCCCAGTAAAGCCTATGCTAGGGTGCTGGAGAGGAGAGCCCGGCTGATGGTTAAATTCCAGCTTCGGGAGGACCAGTATGGGTTTTGTCCTGGCTTTGGAACAGTGGACCAGCTCTACACCCTACACAGGGTCCTCTGAGGTTACATGGGAAGTGCTTTGTGGACCTGAAGAAGTTATTGGTCCCTAGTGGGACCCTAGAATGGGTCCCTAGTGGTGCCTTGTGGGTTGAGCTTCAGGAATGTGGAGTTTAGGGCCCTTTACTAGGGTCCATCCGGGCTGTACAAAAGGAGCAGGAGACTGGTCTGCAATACTGGCATTAAGTTGGACCTGTTCACGGTACATGTTGGACTCTGCCAGAGCTGCGCTCTGTCACCGGCCCTGCTCATAACCCTATTGGACAGTCTCTAGACGTGGCTGAAGAACTGGGGGGGGTCTGGTTCGGGGACCAGTACATCTCATCCCTGCTTTTTGTGGACGACATGTTTCTGCTTGCTCCCTCCTCCCAAGACATACAGCATGCACATGGAAGGTTGGCAGCCAAGTGTGTAGCAACCAGAAAAAGGTGGCATGTCCCCTTCAGGTTGGAGGAGAGTTCCTGCCTCAAGTGGAGGAGTTTAAGTATCTCTGGGTCCTGTTCATGGGCCAGGGGAGAATACAGCGGGGGATCGATTGACGGATTGGTATGACTTGACTGTTGCTATAATGTGGATGATCCACCACTCTGTCTTGTTGAAGAGAGCTGAGCAAAAAGGCAAAACTCGGTCTATGTCCCTAACCTCACATATGGTCATGAAATCTGGATCATAACGGAAAGAACGAGATCCCTGATACAATCGGCTGAAATGAGCTTTCCCTCGAGGGTGGCTGTCCACTACCTTAGTGATAGAGGAGCTCAGTCATTCTGGAGGGGCGTTGAGTAGAGCTGCTTCTTCTCCATTTTGAAAGGAGTCAGTATTTTTCAGATGCCCCCTGGACGCCTCCCTGGGCAGGTGTTCCAGGCACGTCCAACTGGAAGGAGGCCCAGGGGACAAGCCAGGACATGCTGGAGGGACTATGTCTCTTGGCTGGCATTGTAGCCAAGAGACATAGCGCCTAGGGCTTCCCGCAGCAAAGCTGGAGGAGGTGTCTGCAGAGTCTTTACTGAGACTGCTGCCCCTGCGACCTTGTTGATGAGTATGAAACTTAAATAAAAGAGAGGCAATAAAATATTCTAGACCATCTATGCCCAGTGATTTAGGTGCAGCTGGGTGGGATTTTGCTTTTGATTGATTATTATTATTTTTTATCAGAATCAGCACATTAATATTTTGGATTCATGCTAAGGTAACTCCCCAGATCCAAATCACATGAAACACCCATTGTCACCTTAAGGCCCATATAAGGCACGTTTGCCTCAGCTTTTTCTAATGCACAATTTAAAGTATTGCATCAGATAAGCTTGATGGAAACTGCTAAATCTCAATAAACTCCCTAAAATTCACAAAAAGAAATGTTTATGCTCCATTAAGGTTGGTTTTTGGCTTTTGGGAAAAACGGTTGATGCAGAAAAAGGGGGATGGACACACTTTTTTAGAATCCGCTCTAACGTTGCAAACTTTTACTTACATGACTATTCCGCTTTTTCTGCTGTTGGTGTCTTCTTGAATGGTCCTATTATCCGTATAAACATGGCTGGAAGCAACATCACCCTTACTATCTAACTGTCATGATCCAGTCGGTGAGGGTTTATCCAGAGGTAGAGACTTGTTGGAGGGCGGACAGGTATAGACTTGGTTTGACCCTGAGGAGCTATTGAGCGGACTGTCACTTGGGAATCCAGGAGGACTTGAACGGAACTTGTGGAGGTTAATCCCCTGCTCAGTGTGGGACTCAAATAATCCTTCCAGGGGGAGAAGGCCAAACATCCAGCTTGCAGGAAGGCTTCCTGCAGAAAGGCAAAGACAAAAATAGGTTAGGCTCAGCAAAAAACAAAGACTCAGTTAGACTCAACAAAACTCAGCTTGGCAAGAGTACCCAAAACTGGCAAACACTCTGGCGCCGAGGTAGTGACAGTCCATGGCTCAAATAGTCCTCAGTGATGAGCCAACCAGCCGCAGGTGTGTGGGAGGACCGATGAGAACAGGGCGCCACCTGGTGGTGGAGGGAGAAAACATAAAAACACAACCCAGACAAACTGCATTCCTAACACTAACATGTTAACGTAAGAACAAGTTGCTCAATAGCAATACATTCATTAAAACTTTCCTTCTTTGGTCTGTGCTAGATTGCAGCCTCTACAAACCTGACAATGTAATATGGACGACGTAAGACGCCTTTGCCGTGCTTGGTTAATTCTGTTCAAACCAGAAAGAAACACGTCAAATTCGAATTTTCTCTTTTTAAACTTGAAACGTTTGCTTAAAATTCAAATTAACTTTAATGGAAAAATGGCTATATAAACCTTGAGCTATTTCTCAGTTTAAGTCTCTGAAACATCAGAAATATGCATTAATAGGCTTTAATATATTATAGAATCATCTGTGACCACAACATATTATAGATATGAAAGGTTGTCAAAAAAATAAAAAAACTTAGTCTCAAAACTTTGGCCTTAACTCTAGTTATCCAAAGGTTGGAACATATAGAGGCTCTCAGACACTTGGAGACCTATGCAAATAGATCCACACTGCTGATGCTTTGCACGTTAGCATTATGGTTGTAGGGGTGACCTCATTATTTTATGTGCTGAGGCATGATGTATACAGTGTGAATGCTCCATGTTGCCTATATTATTTTTTTTAAAATCTATTCTGCAGGAAGGTCAGGCAGACGTAGAAGAGGTCCCAGAAATCTCTATCATTGACAACTTCTGTTTTGTGAATGCAGCAACTGAGGAGGCCCTGATGGAACAGAACTGAATGCATGATCAGTTAAACTTTTTGAAGTTTGTGATGTTTTAATTTTTAATTTTATGTTTCTTTATTTTGGAACCGAGTTAGTCAGAGTTGGAGCTTATATTTCGCTCAGTCTTGTTACATTTCTAATCCTCCTTCATTTATGTTGGATTATTTTGTTATACAGTTAGAGATACAACTTCACCATCTTAACAGAATAAGATATAAAAAAAAATGACATGGGTTAATTTGTCAATATCTGTGGAGGGTTTGAGGTTCTATGAAGACAGAGCAGTTTGTACATTCCAAACATCCCTGTAGCACCTCACATCATCCTGGGTGACACATGAACATAGTTTTTCTCTCTTCTACAACGACCTATATGCTGGGTTCAAAGAAATAGCATGGGGATCTAACACTCCCCCCCAATAGTTATTTCCCAGTTACTTTATAGGAATTATTTTTAAAGATCCATAACAGACATCCAGGGTCTTACTTCCCCTTAATGGGCAATTAAAATATTGCGGGAAACTGCTAAATGACTCTCTCCAATTACAGTGATTAAAGTCTCCCATTATGAAATTTGGGTCATTTGGAGCAAGAGCCGATTAGTACTATTTGTGTACAACTTTGACGGTGTAAAACTTTATGGATAACATTATCAGCATATTTAATTTTGGTCCTAGGAATAATCAGAGGAAATTCACAAGGGAGAAGAAAGGGCAAACTAATACAGAAAGGAGCTCAATGTCCACGGTGCAAATGTTCTCACTACTGGTCACATTGTGACTACAATGCTGGTCTATGCAGACAGGATAGGAGAGGCTTAGTCATAGCCTCACATTACCTGTTTTTTTTTTTGTACTTCTACGTTTTGCCGTAATGTTTTCAGAACCATACAGGAGAAGCAAGAGAAAATTCAGTACCTGCAAGAAAATCCTACAGCTACACCTATTTATTGAAAATGAAATGTTAATTTGTTTTATCCAAAAATGTTGTTTTTTACTGATCTTCACTCAGTAACTTATTTCAAAGAGGGCTTCAGCATATTAAGATTCATCTGAAAACTTAATTGTGATACTTGTTTCCTTTTGTCATACTGTATGGTTGTGATACTGTAGCTAATAAAACACAAATGCTGTTGCATATTTCTAGTAGATTTATAGATGCCACTGTTCGGTCCTCTTTGTGTGAAATATATTAAACATATTTTTCCAAAACAGTGTCCTGTTGTGCTCCCACATTTAATTTTGTCTTTAATCTACGTAAAAAAAAGCAAGTAGGAACATAAAAAAAAATGACACCAAAGATATAGTAAAAAAGAAAGATTAGTGCTCTGATTCAGGGGCATGGGGAGTATCAGCTAAAAGTTAAAAGTATGTATTATAATAACACCTGAAATACATACCATGCACAATTCTAATACCGTCAGTGCTGTGCTCAGAGATTTTTAAGGGCAGGTGCTCAGGTTGGGTAAAGAGTACCTTATACGTCGCATGGAGCCGCCAACAGCTAACAATGTCCGATGCTGACGTTTAACAATCTTCTGCAGTCCATAGGCAGCAATGTCACATTGGTATCAAATAAATAACAATTTTAAAGCCACTGATATAAAACCCAGGATTCCAGAATATCTTTAAGTTATTAGGTATATATGACAAGTTATATATTAACAAAAATTTAAATGTAAAATATGAAAAAAAGTGCATAATATGTAATAATTCTATTTCAAGGTTAAAAACTCTTATTTAAATGACAGATATTGTTATTCCCTTTTCAGATGAAGGACAAATACAGTTATTTGCAGAAAATTTTACACATTTTCTGGTTATTTTTTTAAGTCCAAGATGTCTGTCATTAAACACAGAAATTGAAAATGCAGCTTAATCTACCCCCCTTTAAATGAATAGAACCTTATTAACATTATTGTTAAATTTTCTTTGATAATTTGGCCTTATGTTTGCTTTTAAATTAAATGTTTAACAGACAAAAGGCAACTTGTGTGCTGTAGTTGTCATAAAAAGGGCCAATATATGTCAGCAGGGAGTCCCTGACAGGGACCATTACAGCAAATCAATACTTACATTTATGAAATGCTTTAAGTGAAATTTTTTCTAATTTATTCAAAAAGTTGTATTTTAAATCGTTCCGTGGCGCCTGGTAGAGGCCATTAAAGATGTTATGCTATGAACTAACCGGTTGGTGAAAGAGGTAAATACGCTTGTTTAGTTACCTGGACGGGTAGCTGACCCTTCACAAGGGCAAAGCTCTGTTGAGGTGGTTTCTCATGTCCCGTGGACCAAAATTACAGAAATCTAGACTGTGGGTTTTACAGGCTTGTAAATTCATAAATGGTATTTTGGGCTAAACAATAAAAAAAGTAAAAAATGGATAAATTAAATGGATAACAAAACTGCTATTTTCAATGACTACTTATTTTTGTCCATCTTTAACATCGGTATCGATATCGGTTATCGGCTACATGAGTTTTAAAATATCGGCATATCGGATGGTTGATACCTACAAGAACCATGCCAATTTATTGGGGCTATACGAAGTCAAACTTGCTATATTTGATTAGGTGTCACTGCATGAAAAGTGGGATTTTCGTCAATATGCGGCAGTGTAGATTGTCATGGAACTTCAGGTTAGTGGCAGTTTACGACAATTTGCAGGCTTCGCCGAAAACTCCCGTAAATTGTCAGAAATTGACGTGGACTTTGTTAGGCAGTGTTCCCCCCATGCCTCACCCCCATGGAATTCTAGGGGAGGCTTTAACATGTAAATGAACATGCTGTGAGCTATACAAATGCAAATCAGGGTTGCAGGGGGGGGTTTTACTCCAAGTGACATTTTTCTAAAAGGTAAGAAAATCTCTGTTACAAAGAGATCAGGCTCAGTATAGCCTCTTACATTTTAGCTTGAATTGATTTATTTAATTAAAGTATAGAGACCAAAACAGATCTTTAGCTGACAGAGCAATACATTTAGAGCAGTAATTATAAAAAAAAAAAAAATTGCATTTAAGATAAAAAATAAAATGTCTGTCAATATGCTCAATTCACAATAACTTAAGTGGAAAAGTTTCAAGAAATGAGTCTGAGATGATTCACTTTATAACATGGCGCATTATCCTGTTGGAAGTAGCCATCAGAAGATTGGTACACTGTGGTCATAAGGTCCGGCCTGGTCAAAATCCGCAATTGCAATCGCACCAAACAGGAAAAAGAACATCGACAAATTCCGGTTCGTCAAATTGAAATATTGCAGCAACAGATCGGTGACTAGAAATTTTAGCACAATTCTTATATATAAAAAAAAAAAAACTAACACCGTTTATTTAAATGATTGGATCCAAACTATTGGTTATTCACCAACGAGGAAGCAGATTTCTCATCTCCATCAAAATATTTATTTTATACCGAGGGACTTAAACTTTAATCAAATCCATTCAAAAGAAACTTCTTATTACAGGAATGAAAAGAGATGTTTGGGAGAAGAGAACAAGTTCATTCAAAAAAAGCAGTTTTGAATTATCCTTATTGTGGTAATGTGGCCTTTTTGTTAAGTTTATTGCATGCATTCTAATTTTTGGATTTTCTTTATTTTTGAACTTGTTTGCTTGTTTTTCAATTTTGCATATTGCATGTTCTTTTTTTGGATTTTGTTTGGAGGCCACATTGCCACTCACACCTGGACACGCCCACAGCAACGGCACAGGTGTTCCCCATCAACCAAGCAGCGTGCCAACTGGGACGCTGATTTAAAAAGGCAGCTGTTTGGTTGGAGAGACACCGGACATGGGAAGGTTGGTTGGAGAGACACACCAGACATGGGAAGGCCGATCACGGAGGGAGTCGGACAGAGCGGGTGAGAGAGAAGCAGCGGGAGAGGTTTGGGGACTGACGGCAGGAGGCCGCTGGAGCGAGGTGCAGAGACGCACACCGGAGCGAGGTGCAGAGACGCACACCGGAGCGAGGTGCAGGGACGCGCACCGGAGCGGGGTGCAGAGAGGCCCGTCATGGAGCGAGGCGCAGAGACGCACGCCGGAGCGGGGTGCAGAGAGGCCCGTCATGGAGCGAGGTGCAGAGGCACGCTGGCGAGAGGCGCGTGTTGGAGGTGACCTCGCTAAGACCGGCTATGCTGGAGAGGCCCACACGCGCAGCGTACCGGAACGAGAATCCAGCGCTGGGGTGGACGGTGCCCTCCATTATACCCGCGAGTGCGCGTCTTTTAACAGACTGGCCCATTGACTCTGCTGCTCTTCACCATCTGGATTTTTATCTTTCTTTTTATCTTTTTTTATTGGATTTTAATCGATTTTAACCTATCTTTTTATCTTTTATTGGATTTTAATCAATTCAACTTTTTAAAGCCCTGCTCACAATCGCCGCAGTCTGTTTGGTTTTTATGGTTTTTATTTAAGAGGATCGCACCTCTCGGGTGCCACAGAATCTGGCGTTGCTGGTAGGACTGCGGGGTTGTGAGCAGTGTTTTTTAACGGATTTTATTTATTTTTTTAAGATCAGATGGGAATGTGCTCTCAGGACTATGGATCGGCCGGGACGGGCCTTATTAAAGTGTGGGGGGATGTGGTAATGTGGCCTTTATGTTAAGTTTATTGCATGCATTCTAATTTTTGGATTTTCTTTATTTTTGAACTTGTTTGCTTGTTTTTCAATTTTGCGTATTGCATGTTCTTTTTTTGGATTTTGTTTGGAGGCCACATTGCCACTCACACCTGGACACGCCCACAGCAACGGCACAGGTGTTCCCCATCAACCAAGCAGCGTGCCAACTGGGACACTGATTTAAAAAGGCAGCTGTTTGGTTGGAGAGACACCGGACATGGGAAGGTTGGTTGGAGAGACACACCAGACATGGGAAGGCCGATCACGGAGGGAGTCGGACAGAGCGGGTGAGAGAGAAGCAGCGGGAGAGGTTTGGGGACTGACGGCAGGAGGCCGCTGGAGCGAAGTGCAGAGACGCACACCGGAGCGAGGTGCAGGGACGCACACCGGAGCGAGGTGCAGAGACGCACACTGGAGCGAGGTGCAGAGACGCACACCGGAGCGAGGTGCAGAGACGCACACCAGAGCGGGGTGCAGAGAGGCCCGTCATGGAGCGAGGCGCAGAGACGCACGCCGGAGCGGGGTGCAGAGAGGCCCGTCATGGAGCGAGGCGCAGAGGCACGCTGGCGAGAGGCGCGTGTTGGAGGTGACCTCGCTAAGACCAGCTATGCTGGAGAGGCCCACACGCGCAGCGTACCGGAACGAGAATCCAGCGCTGGGGTGGACGGTGCCCTCCATTATACCCGCCGAGTGCACGTCTTTTAACAGACTGGCCCATTGACTCTGCTGCTCTTCACCATCTGGATTTTTATCTTTCTTTTTATCTTTTTTTATTGGATTTTAATCGATTTTAACTTATCTTTTTATCTTTTATTGGATTTTAATCTGTGGCGCGCGTCTCCCTCTCCGGTGCGCGTCTCTCTCTCCGGTGCGCGTCTCTCTCTCCGGTGCGCGTCTCTCTCTCCGGTGCGCGTCTCTCCACCTCGCTCCGGCGGGCCTCCTGCCGTCAGTCCCCAAGGCTCTCCCGCTGCTTCCCTCTCACTCGCTCCGTCCGGCTCCCTCCAAGATCGGCCTACCCCAACCAAACCTTCCCATGTCCGGTGTCTGTCCCTCCAACCAAGCAGCTGCCCTTTTTTAAATCAGCGTCCCAGTCGGCACGCTGCTTAGTTTATTGGGAACACCTGTGCCGTTGTGGGCGTGTCCAGGTGTGTGTGGCAATGTGGCCTCCAAACAAAATCCAAAAAAACATGCAACACACAAAATTGAAAAC